AAAAAAATATTTTTGCATTCTCTAAGTAATTTGGATTGAAGTATGACAAACTAAATACAAAAACTGAAACTAATTTTGAAGAAAAAAAATAAGTTTTAAAGCGATGTCTGCGTCATGAGTGACATTTTCCGACATCTTAGCATTTGGGCTAAGATATTGCAATTTCAATTTTTATAATAAATCATGTTTAAAGATAATGATCTACTTCGGGAATGTTTTTTTTAATAGTATAATACCTTAGTATTCGATTGTTAAAAATTAATCATCGAAAATTTAAGTTGTTTTATAGTAATGTAGGTGAGCGAAATTCGGTACATGAGATCTATGCTCTGCTGATATTTTCGCTCGCTCCAATCCGTCGCAAACATAACCGCTTGTCCCTAGTGCGACGATACATCGCAGCACGGCTCATGCCGCATGGGTATTTACAGAACTTCGTTTCAATATTATTATAGCAGTTAGAGACACGAAAGTTATTAAATTGATAATTACATTGGTAATTACAATTAATAAAGTATAACAAAAGGAAATATTTCTTCAGAAGTTGCACAATCGTAAGTTTATTTACATATGCTTGGTCTAAATAACCTAATTGATATATGTCTAAAATATATTTTATTGAAATGTTTACAGAGTCAAAAAATGGGTAAAAAACGCAAAATAACATCAAGTGACTCTTCAGCAAAAAAGATGAGAGAAAGTTATAGGAATTATAAACAAGAGCAGCTGGCTAATGCACTGACCGCTGTAAAGAAAGGTGTGGGCTTGAGAGCTGCAAGTGTTGCTTATGAGGTACCTTATTCTACGCTGAAAGACAAAAGAGATGGAAAAAGTCAAATTGGAGCTAAAAGTGGTGGAAAAAGTGTTTTATCGATGGAAGAGGAACATCTGTTAGTTCAATGGATATTAGAAGTAGGCAAAGCTGGCTTTCCTCCAACACCAGATCAAATCAAGGACAGCGTATGGAAGATAGTCACCAATATAAAGAAAAAAAACCCATTTACAAAAAATAGGCCAGGGCGTCATTGGCTAGATGCATTCATGAAGCGTCATTCTTCAGAACTTTCAGCCAGAGTGCCACAAAACCTTTCTCAGAGAAGAGCAGATGTCACAGAAAGTCAAACTACGTGCTTGGTTTCAAGAAGTTGAATTACATTTGAAAAATAAGAATTTACTGGATATAGATGGCAATAGAGTGTTCAACTGCGATGAGACTGCAGCTTTATTAAATCCAAAAGGACTGAAAGTTATTGTAAAAAAGAGTTTGAAATCTGCTCATATGAAAGTTGGACCTGACGACAAAGAGTGTATGACAGTCTTAGTTATGGGTACGTATTTACATAAAACATGGAATACACACACACATTTATATTAACATTAAAACTGTATTTCCTTTATATATACACCATGCAATTTATTTTATAATATTAAAATTACAGGAAACGCAGCTGGTCAATTGGCCCCTCCTATGGTTATGTACGCATACCAAAGATTGCCACCAGCAATAATAGAAGAAGCACCGAAAAATTGGGCAATAGGCAAATCTGAATCGGGCTGGATGACCAGTGAATCATTTTACGAATATATTTCAAATGTTTTCTACCCATGGGTAGTAAAAGAAGGCATCAAGTTTCCAATCGTACTGTACCTTGATGGACATTCATCACACCTGACGTTGCAATTAAGTAATTTCTGTTTGGAGAACCAAATTGTATTAGTTTCCCTTTACCCAAACTCAACGCATCTAACTCAACCAATGGATGTTGGCTTATTCAGCTGTTTAAAGAAAGCGTGGAGAAAAACTGTCTCGTCATGGAGATTTGAAAGAAATGGAATGGCCTTATCAAAAAACTACTTTGCACAAGTTTTCAAAACAGCTCTTGATTCATTGGACATGACAACTGTGATGGAAAATAGCTTTAAAACATGTGGATTGCACCCGTTCGATGAAAATGCTGTAAAGTATTCTGAGTTATTTAGTCATGATGATGAAGCTATTGAAAACCTGAATGATGACACTGTTTCTCAACCTCCTGTTATTGAATTTAACAAGTTGGAGTTTGTGGAAACGTTAATTGACAAGAATGTTATAACCATGTTTAAACATGCTAAGCAGCGAGATGGTAATTGGTACGGGGAGGAAAAGTACGCTGAATTATTTACTTTCTGGAAACGTTGTGCAGATTCAAAAAGCACCCAGGAAAATAATTCTCATTGTGATGAAGCAGCTCTTCCTTCTGTCAACATCAATGAAAACTATTCCCTTGAGACTTCAAATATCGTGGTAAAAACATTATTAAATTTTTAAAACTAATATATACACCATTTTCTAAAGATAGTTATTATTTACAGTTTAATTTCAATCTTTAGGTCATTTTTAGATGAACAGAGATGTGATGAATTTTATTTTTTATTTTTTTTTTAGTGCAAACAAATTGTTGTTATTGTAATTATAACATTTTTACAAAAAGTGATTAGTGGACACACCAAATAATGTTTCACTCCAGTTAATTTGATAACGTTTTGGACATTTATCTTTAAATTATAGGTCGAGAAAGAAAAAATAGAAGATGAAAATATATTTGTTCGTGAATCGGTAATAAATGAATTTGTAGCTCAAGATGTGGAATTGGTTATAGAATCTGACATAAATTTAAGTGAAATAACCGTCGATGACATGGTAATTGTAGAAGATTCTCCTGAATCAAGTAATCAAGCTCTCTCTAATTGTTTAAGCAATAAAGATACAAATTGTAAAGTTTTAAAGGAAATTGAGCTTAATTCTAATCCATCAACAACTATTAAAAATGAAGGTAATAACTATTTCTTTACTTATATTATTTTATATTTAACATTGTAAATAATGTTTATTTTTTTTTAAATTACAGATGTGAAAAAGCCAGAAGCTCAACACGTTTCCAAAATTTTCAAAGATATTTTATTTTACCCAAAAAAAGAACCAGCTAAACCAGGAAAAAGACAACCAAAAGAAAAAGTTCCAGCAGTTGCAACTGGTGATATATGGAGAAAGTGGAAAAAAGAAAAAGAAGACCAAAAAGATTTAGCTGAAAAAATAAAAAAAGAGAGAAAAATTTTAAGAGAAGCTCGAACTAAGATAAAGCAAGAAAAAGATAAAGAAATAGCAGAAAAGAAAAAGGAGATACAATTAGAAAAAGAGAAGCTGAAAAAACTTGAAGAAGAATCTAAAATGCTGAGAAATAAAAAAATTGAAATAAAGGAAGAGAAATTAGCATTAGTACAAGAAGAAGTTAA